TACAAGACTTTTTTTTGGAAAAGAATTTCTTCCAAGCCAACCTTATATCTTTTATCTATACTTAGGATTTATTTTAGTTTAAATAAGAGTTCTCATCTAGGAAGAGAGGATTATTATTTTTTTTCTATCTTTTTATTTTGATTTTAGTTCGTCATGTCTGGTTAAAATGTTTAGCTAAGGTTAGGAAAGGACCTCTCAATGAAGTACGGTAATGTTATTGACTTATGAGCTTAATGATATGTGATATTTTGTTAATTCAACTTTTGATTTATTAACAAAGTTTTTGTTCTGTAAAAATCCTTAAGTCATTGTGTCATGTACATTAATTGCTTGAATTTTTCTGCTAGTCAAAAACTGGTTATTCCATGCTTAAGTTGATTATCATTATTTCATAGAATAATATAATTGGATGATAATTTAGATTTCTAAATAATCTCTTGATTATAAACAAAGGTGTTCTTGTGGTATTATTGATAAATTTGGTGATTTGAATCAATCGACATTTGATTTTTGTCTAGGGGTAAGAATTAAATCTTCAATCATTATTGTATGAATTTGAGAGGGAGTATCTGATGCTCTAGTATTTTTCATATTATTTTAATTACTTTAATTAACTTTCTCAATTCAATATTCTATTAAACAAATAATCTTTCCAAGATTGTTATAGTATTAGTGTGATTGTTGTTATTTCACAATTCCTTAAGGGTTCAACCTCGGTCTTCTGAGAAATATATTATTTCGCTTAATCTGCGCTTGAGTTTACATAATTAAAGTTGAAGCAGAGACCTTGTCCAAAATTTTGAAACTCTAAACAGAAGCTCGTAACAAAATCAATATCCTTTGGCAATTGCATTATGCTGGCTTAATCAACTAAAGAGCACCCATAATCTGTCTATAGAGAGAGGGATCCGATAGAGGGTCACCATCAAATTTTGTCAATTTCTTCTTGGATGTGCAAGGTGATGCATAAGGTTTGACTCCCAACATCTTGACTCGAGCAAGTAGCTCCAATACATATTTTGATTGGTTCAAATGTAAGCCCTGATTAGTTCGAGTAACATGAATGCCCAAAAAATAAGTTAATGGTCCAAGATCCTTCATTTTAAACTTTTTTTGCAAATTGGCAATGAGATCATTAATACTGGAAAGATGTGTTCTTGTCACTGTGGTATCATCTACATGAATTAAGACAAATAAGTGAATTGAATGCTTGTGAAGAATAACAAGGATGTGTCCACCATTGAACCTGTGAACCCAAGATCAAGTAGCTCTTGTGTCAGCCTATAAAACCATGCATGTGGAGCTTGTTTAAGTCCATAAAGTGCTTTGCAAAATTTTCAAACATAATTAGGATGATCCTTATCAATGCATCCCTTTGGTTGCTGCATAAATATCTCTTCTGCCAAGTAACCATGCAAAAATGCATTTGAGACGTCAAGTTGCTTGGTTGGTCAATTGTAGTGCACATCAATTGACAATAACAATCAAACTATAGTAGGCTTAATCACAGGACTAAATGTTTATGTGTAATCCACCTTGTCCACTTGTTCAAAGCCTTTGGCAACTAGTCTTGCTTTGTACCGATCAATACTTCCATCTGGCTTCTGCTTCAGTTTATATACCCATTTATTCCTAATGATATTTTTGTTTCTTGGCTGAGGACATAGTGACGACGTACCATTTTCTAGCAAGGCATTGAATTCACTCTCCATAGCAGCAAGCTAATTTGAGTCTAAAACTGCTTGAGAAAAATTAGTAGGCTCAGATGGTAGTAGAGTAACATGCAGAGCCTTTAAGGGATGTTTAGTAGAGTAATATAAATGAAAGTCTGAAAAATCCCTTGGTTTAAGGCTACCTGTTTGATATCGAGTAATGAGGTGAGTGGAAAGGGGCTCAACTTGGGAAGATAAATTAGGAGAGATATCAGAAGGAACACTAGACTAACTTTGTGTGATGATGGGTTCAGTGTCAGCAACAATAACTTGTGCATTTATGGAATTGTCTTGTGTGTGTGGAGAACACATCAGTAGGATAAGAATGTGGAGTGACCGCAGTATTGGGTGACACAGGTGACGATTCATGTAATGAAGTGTTGGGGTCTGATAAAGTATGGTTGGAAAGTGAATTAATAGAATAAAAATCAAATGAAAGTAGAAGTACAATACCTTCATTTTGGGATGAACCACTTGAAGAGGGTGATGAAACGACTTTATTATATGCTGGAAACAGATGTTCATCAAACACAACATGCCGTGATATATAAATTCTGTTAGTCATCGGATTTAAGCATCTGTAGCCTTTTTGATTGGAGATATAACCCAAGAATATGTATCGCTTACTTCGGTATTCTAATTTGTGGTTTGTGTATGGTCGCAATAGAGGATAACAAGTGCAACCAAACACTTTTAAAGTTGCATATTCTGGCTCAAACTTGAAAATCTTGTTGTACTGAGTGGCATATTCCATAACAGGAGTTGCTAGCCTATTTATTAAACAAACAGCAGTTTGAAATGCTTCTAACTAGTATTTGGAAGGAAGATGAGACTCAGATAACAAAGCAAGATCTGTTTCTATGATATGCCGATTTTTTTTTCTGGCTAAACCATTTTGTTGTGATGTATGAGAACATGTAATCCTATGGAAAATCCCATGATCTGAGAGATACTTTGTGAAAGGATGTGAAATATATTCTCCTCCTCCATCAGTTTGTAATTGTTTTATTTTAGAAGAGAACAAGTTTTACTCAATCACTTAAATTTCACAAAACAACTGAACAAATCATATTTTTGTTTTAACGGGAATAACCATGAATATCTGAAATAATCATGAACAAACACATTATAAAATTTACATCCACCAATAGACAAAATTGGCGACGTCCAAATATCACTATAGATTATTTATAAAGGAGAAGAAGTCACATGTGTAGACTCTTGAAATGGTACTTTTTTGCTCTTAGCCAATTGACAAGGAATACATAAAGATGAGTTGATACGAAAATGAGACACAGGTAGCTGGTGGCTTTTGATCATCTGATGTAAAATTTGACTGTTTGTATAGCTTAGGCATTTATGCCAAATTGACATAGAGGTTTTAACTCCAACCAAGGCTACATGTCCTCGTCCTATATTCACCGCAAACTGCTTCAGTCGCACAGGATAGAGACCATCTTCATTCGGCCCTTACAAGAGGATCGCCCCCGTGAGATTGTCCTTCACAACAAAGTAGGTGTCAATCAATTTAAAGAAACAATTGTTGTCTTGACAGAATTTTTGTATGGACAACAAGTTTGTAGAGGCATTAGGACAGTGTAAAATGTTATACAAATAAAGAGTAGAATTATGAGTTAATAAAGAGGATGAACCAGTTTTGGCAATGTGAAGACCACCACCATTTCCAACTGCTACAATTTCAGAACCATTATATGGTTGTTGTAGAGTGAGATTCTCCAATTCTGCTGTAATATAATTGTTAGCTCCACTGTCTGCGATCCACTTATTTTCTTCACGCAAGACATTTGACTGTGCTACCATTGCTGCAAGTTCACTTGGAGGGCGTCTTCCTTGATATGCAAAATCCGTTCGATGAAAGCAATCCAAGGCTTGATGCTTATTTTTCCCACAAATCTAACATGAAGATCGATTAGCACGAGAATTATCATATTGATTAGCTTTATATTTACCTTGTGATGACCTGGCAGCGGAATTGAAAGGCTTCTTTTGAGTTGAACCTCTCACTAGATTGAAAAACTTTGGTGGATTTCGATGTGTGTGGTTGCCGTATTTATGCTTCGGATTGAAATTATTTGGCTTTTGTGAATAGAGAGTAAATGCACCAAGATCAGGTTGAATTGCAGCATTCTGATTTTCAAGCATTTGTTCAATACTGAGTAGCTCAGATTGAAATTCTTCTAAAGTCAATGAACCTTCTCTTGAAGCAAAAGCAAAAGAAGTCATGAATGGGTTGTACATTGGACTTAAACCACCAACAATATAAGAGATAAGATCTTCATCTTCTACTGGCTTTCCAACAATAGCCAGTTGATCAGCCAAGCTCTTTGCAGCATGAATAAACTCAAAACATGATTTTGCCTCTTGATGAATATTCTATAATTTGCATCGCAAGTGATTGATACGGGATCATGACGGCGAAACGTATCACTTGGCCAATGCAGTCCACACCTGACTAGAGGTGTTTAAACCGTACATTGTAGTGACAACTTTCTCTGGTAAGGTGGCAATGAACCAGCTTAGTAGATACGGGTCCTTTTTCTCCAGATAATGAATTCTGGGTTCAAGGTGATAGTGATTTTACCTTCAGTATCTTGAAAGTATTTTGTTGGGCAAGGCTATGTGCCTTCAACAATACCCAAGAGCCCATTGGTCCTAAGAATAGGAAGAAATTGACAAACCCACATCAAATAATTATTGACATCTAGTTTACTCAAAACCAGATGAGCAATATTAGGAATAGCAAATACAGTAGCTGCATCATTGCTTGTGGCTGCCATAAGAAAAAAAATTGCAGATGGTGTTAACCCAGTAGCTCTGATACCAAGAAAGAAAATGAGTTGGGGAAAAGGTTTGGCTCAGAATACCAAACACTACTTCTTTGATATCAATTTATAGAAAGGTTAGCTACATCAGAGTATGTCTCTGTACATTTGAGAAACTAAAATATATCAACATCTAGCTATTTACAATTTAAAATATTGATAACTCTGGCAAATAGATTACCATGACTCTAAAGATAAGCCCATGTTTGCATTTTCCTGAAGCTGATCATTTTCATTTTCTTGAGATACTCTAACAAAAAGACAGGCATAAAGTTGCAAAAATGCTGTCCATGCGATTCCCGGTTGTTCCTACTCATAAAACAGCACTACTTTCTCTCATCATCTCCAAAAAAAAACCATTTTCTTCTGTTACCTGTGACCGTGATCTAGCAAAATGAAACAGAAGAATCAGATGGAACTTTTGCCCTGCAATTTCTTCTCCCAGGTTTTGCAAGCTTCTTGTGAATGGAGTATTAGTAGTACCACCCCAAGAAGAAGAAGAAGAAGAAGAAGAAGAAGAAGGTGAAGTAGGAAAAAATAGACCGGCAGAAGTAGAATTGCCTGCCGGCCACCGGCGAGAACTAATCCCGAAACATGTCTCTGTGACTCCGCATGGCCACAGGAGGTGGGCCCGGAAGAGGGGTTTACCGATAGGGAGACGAGGGTTATAGGGCCCTTGTACGGGGAATGGCGGACCTCACTCGACTCTGTTGCAAATGGGGAGTTCCAGTTCTCACATTTTATGCATTTTCCTACCGAGAATTTGAAGTCGTTCCAAAGTCCTCACTGTTGCTTCTTCGATCTCAAACAGTTACTTTCATATATACTGCACTTTTTGGTACAATATTTTAGATTCTCTAATGAAAAAATGTGACGCATTCAAATTTTTTTTTTTTATCACAAAATGCATAACAATGACAAAATATGGTATCATACTTTATTTTTTATCGGATAAAAATGTAATACATGTAAAAATTTTATATTTTTTTTTTACAATTCACATTTGAATTCATTAACATAAAAAAATTATATTTGAATTCGTTAAAATAAAAAGTTCAAATTTGAATATGTTAAAATAAAAAATTCAATTTGATCCGAATAACTCTGAAATAAAGTTTTAGCAAATTACATCGTAATTTTGACACAATCTCATCAAATAATTATTTTATTTTATACATATAATTCAGGTCGGATAACAATCCTAATAAAAATTAGATATATCCAATATCCAAAATCGTAAACTGAAATATAATCGATTAATGTTCGGAATCGAATTTGAAATATAATAAATTTACTTTTTGTCTGGCAAATTTACTCGGATTAGTTTGATTTTTTTTATTTTTAATGGATTCATGTGTTGTAAAAATAAAATATAAATATTTTACATATCCCACATTTTTATTGGATAAAAATTTAAAATATGATACGATATTTTGTCATAGTTTTACATTTTGTCATATAATATGAAAATTTTAAACGCGTCATATTATCATTAGAAAAGCTAAAATGTTGTACCAAATTTTTTTTTTTGGTAATCTAATTAATTTCAAAAATAAATTTAATTGAATATAAACTTTAATCATATGTTTTTCCAATGAAAACTTTTACTTGAAAAACTAATAATTTTGACCAATAGGCATGTGATTACAATTGCTATTTGCTGGTATTCATAAGATGTTGTGGTCTTATGGAACTGCACAATGTGCTGTTCTTTTGAACAGCAGAGGATCCGCTCCCCCCTTGCTATTCTCAGACTTCTTAAAGCAATCGACCCAACTATGTACTCCCTTCCTCTTCTGATTTCCTTCTTTTTGAATCATGCACATGAGAAAATTATCAAGGAAGAAGTTTTTTTTTTAATTTTAGTGGGGAATACGACTCTTAACTTTTTTCACTTTTACTTATATTTCTTTCTTTCTTTCTTTCTTTCTTTTTGTGTTCTTGATAGTTTGTATGTTCTTTTGTTTCTAATCTTTCCTATCCCCCTTATTTTTTAACATTACAAATTCAGACTGCACAAGCGCACTAGAATTTATAGTTTTAGGGGAGTAAAAATAGCTTTTAATCCTAAATTTTTGTTTCATTGCTTCAAAAAACTTCTATTGCCTTCTAAAAAATTTTAAGTGGTAGAATATCTCCTAAAACACCAATTGTTTTTATGTACTTGCCATTGTTGTACAAAAAGATAACAAGTAACCTTCTCCTCGCTACTAAAAATAAGGTATGAATTATTGACTATCAATTGAAATAACCAAGCTTTCAAATTGTGAGTCGCCTTCCAATTCTCTATGTTTGTTTAAATTCGGATGCAAATCTCATAGGAAACATTACAAGACAAAAGGGCAAGCCGACACAAAAAGTATTGTTTATTGTCGCAAATAATTTGCATTGGCAAGCAGACTTTTTGAATCAACAATGGAGGTGAGACTAAAAAGCCATGATTTAAGAAGTAATAGTTGACGCAAAAAAGTATTAGTGTCGGCAAGAAATCGATGCCAAAAACAAGAATCACGTTAGAGTATATACGCTAGCAACATGCTGACGCAAATAATACTATTTGCATTGGTATTTTGCTGGTGCAAATATTTTTCCACACGAGAAAATAAAACTTTTGTGTCAGCAAGTTACCGATGTAAATAATTGTTTTTTTAAAAAAAATATTTATACTAATTTTTTCTCTTTACTACAAAATGAACCTAATAATTTTAGAAAAAAGTAATTCACAAAAAAAAAAAAAAGAAAAATAAATATAAAAAATTCTAATATTCATGAAAGAGAGAACATCCATCACAAATACATAACAACATTGATAGTTTTTATAAGTACAAAATACGTAAACTAACAAATAAAAGTATGAACATATAATCAAACAAAAAAAATACATATTCTTCTAATGCACCATCTACACCATCTATTTCTTCCCAAAGCATCATTTACTCTCTCTTCAACACCAGCAAAACACACAATTTTTGTTGTTATTTTAATCAATTTTACATCTAATATCTACAAAACCTAAGACATCAACACGCACAAGGACAAAGACATGCTGCAGTACGAAAAATGAAAGAATGGTAATAAAGAAAAAAGGAAACATGACAACAAAATAAAAGACGAATGCACTGGACAAAAAGTCTTCAATGGCATATTAACACCTTCGTTGGTTTCATAGTCATCGGCAAGTAAAAACTATAGGAAATAATTCAAACTAATGATATACCCTTTTTTGTGATAACACATTATATCTACATTGTTGGTGAATTATATCAATTTAAGAGGAAATGATATAAAAGTTGTTATAACTAAACAACTTTTCAATTTACGATTCAACTTTTCAATTATATCTACATTGTTGGTGAATTCTTATGATTCTTAAGAATTCTATTGGATGTACTCGTCAAGTATTGGGTATTGCAAGATTTCATTTTGCAAATTGCAATGTCTTTGTAATTGACGATAAAATTTTATCTCAACTGTCGTATATCGAGTTTGCCATAAATTGCTAAGCTATGCACAGTGTATGTTAACAATCATTTCAGTCCATTAACTTTCAATTTTGTCCTTTAATGTTCAACATAACATTAATTTTTCCAGTCGATTATGGTTCTGTAGTTTTTTCTAAGAGGATTTCCACATTAAAATTAGTTTGTGTTGTGGTTGTTGGTTTATTGCTTTACTTTAACACATACAAACTTGCAACTCCACACACCAGGTGTTTTATGATGTGCTTGTTAGATTGATCTATCATATATTATCATCTTTGTGACTGTTGAATTGGTGGAAGGGAATTGGAGGAATAAGGATGGTGGATTTGCATTAAATTAAGATTGATTGTTGACTTGAGCATTCCTGCATTCATACATTCCAGAAAGTAATATTGTATTGCTTGCAGTATGTAATACCTTACAAAGTGACTCAATACATCTCCCTCCCTATAAAATATGACATGATATTCTAAATGTACCCCAAAACATCTTGTTTATTACTGATTAGTTCTCATAATTATTCTTATATAACTCCAAATTTGTTTAAAATGAGCATGAACGGGCTACTACTTTCGCATATTTTGGCAGGAATAATATTTGATTATCTGCGATCGAGGATAAATCATTGCTCCCGAATTCTCTACAACAAGTGTTATCTGAAGCAAAGGAGGCTTTAAAGGCAAACTCAAGACTCCATTTTATAATAGCACTAAGTTATGGTGGAAGATATGACATACTACAAGCTTGCAAAAGCGTTACTAGCAAAGTGAAGGATGGTCTCATTCAATTGGAAGACATCAACCAGAGCATATTAGAAGAACTAGAAACCAAGTGTGCCAAATTCCCCAACCCTGATTTACTTATACAAACAAGTGGTGAACTTAGACTCAGCAACTTCATGTTGTGGCAAGTGCACTATACTGAATTTTACTTTGTTGACAAATGTTTCCCGGATTTTGAGGAAGCAGACTTTATAGAGGTCTTGAACTCACATTAGAAATGAAACCGACGGTTTGGTGGAAGATAAGCGTCAGTTCAGCCTTGATCTACGAGCATTCATCTTCATAGCCCTTTGCTGGTCGAGATCGAGTTCCTTCCTTATTGAGAATTTATATGGCTTTGTTAAACGTAATTCTAGAAGGGCATAACCCCAATAAATAAATAAATAAATAAATAAAACAATTCTTGGCAGTTCAAGTAAAAATCTACCATCTATTTGGTTTTCTCTGATTCTTGGTAATTTAGCTGAAAAACCCATATTAGTATTGTAAGCCCATGTTGAAATTTAATTTAGATTTAGCTAGGTCTTTTTTTATTATTATTATTTATATGTATTGTTGCCTTATCACCAAGAAAAATAAATTTTTAGGGTTTGAAATGTTTAGAGCTATATTAATTAAACCTCTGTTTGGTAACGCTTTTAAAATTTATATTATTATTTTATTAATTTTTTTTTTTTGAAAGTTGCGTTTGTTTGATATTTTTGCTTTTTTATGAACTTTTCTGTTTGGATTTGCTACATTCTTCCAATCTAGCTCTTAATTGCATCTATAATAGTACAACTATGAAAATAGGCTATTTATATGTCAACTATGTATTGCGATAATGTTTTTTTAATTGAGATATTCCTATGTACTTCTTTAACATATATAGTTGTTTTTTCTAATCTTTTTTGTTTGGATTTACTCCCTTCTTCCAATTTTAATCGCCATGGTGCACATAAAGCTTAGAAAAGCCAGACAAAGTTAGAGAGACACCCTATTTTCGTGGTGCCGCAATGAACCAAATGGATAAATTTTGGATCTAATCTTTAAGAACCCAACTTAGATAGTATTACAAATGGGTTTATATATAAATATTATTATACATATTAAAATGCAAATAGACAATTATAAAATAATAATGAAGCATGCTTCCTACTTTTGAAACATTTTCTTAAAAAGTACTTAAAAAAAGTTACCAGTCAGTCAACAAGCTAGTGTATGTGCATGTACTCAGATAGCTTATGATAGTAAGATTCATATACTTTGTGGTGCTAGCCATAGGGTCATAAGCATGCGTCATAATTATTCACACAATTTCTGACACAATTTGAAGTGATATAAACTTACAAAAAATACGTCATGTTACTGTCAATTATAAATAACTCATTTTTGAGATAACAAACTCATTTAATTAGTACAATCTGT